ATATTGTTAGTTGTTAATTTACTATTTTAATTTATTAGTTAATTAGTTAAACACAAGAATGTTAATATCTATAAGTTAGGAATTGTTCAAGCTTGTCTTCTTGGTGATAGTGAACAGTTGTAGCTATACCTTAGTTCTCTGTGGGATTCGACTCCGGACTTGTAAACCGGATTATATTTGCAACGACCGCATTGTCCTTTTTATAAGGCATAATTGGGCGTGATCATTCATCAACACCTAGAAGAACCATATAACAATTTGGCTCTCTTGAATCTTGCATGATGCTATTTATGACTTCATCTAAATGCATACCGGCTAATTGTGACACCAATAGCTCATTTTGCATGACTTTCATGGGACAACCCTAGCGTAAAGGACAATAACAACAAACATACTTTAAATAAGGAATGGTTTATACAAGTTAACTTTTAGTTGATATTTAGAGTCCTAAATATAGGACTTTTACATAATTCAAATAAAGAAAGATTTAACAATCAAAATTTTAGTTGATTTCAATGTCCTAAATATTAGGAAAATAACTTATATTTTGTAAGGATAAAAAAGACGAATAACATTTTGCTAAGGGACTTCGTGCGCGTGCACCGTATATTAATAGTTATTAAAATTTTAAAATTATATAAACATTAGAATTGAAAAATATGTTTGAGTCAAAAAATAAAAATTAATGAAAAATATAGATTTCTAAAATTGGTGAGTATAGATCTTATCCAATATAATTAAATGAATAACAATCTCCTGTATCTTTCTTGTGTAGAATATTAATTTATCGTGAAACCGTAAATCGATATCAAGAAATCATAAAAAGAGTATTTACTTTTATGATTATGTTTGTTCCTGAATTGCTATAAGGAATTGTATGCTTCAGTTGTGATTTTTGTGCAAAGATAATCAGGAAAATATTACACGCTTAAATTTTTAATGATTTTTTGGTAAGGAGGAGTTTTTGTCCGTGACATAGTTCGAAATTATAAGTATATCACATAGTTCAAATAATATCTATGAAACACGAGCATATAAGAAAAATAACATGTACAATGGATATATATCCTTAAATCTCATACCTGAGAGAAAATAACGTGACTGGATTCTTTGCTGACATCCCTGTTGATGGAAATCATATTCATGCCCATTTTTAGACATTAGTAGTATAACACTTATTATAAACATATAAGCATGGACATTACGATGTAAATATCAGAATATTTACGTACAAGTATGCGTAATAAATTAAATAAAAAATAACTACTAATTAAGTAAATACAAGGTAAAACTATAAATAAAAAAAGAAAATAAATAAAGTAAATAAAAAATAACTACTAATTAAGTAAATACAAGGTAAAACTATATATAAATAAAGAAAGTAAAAGCTTCTCTAACATATGCTTGAAATTTAGATTAAGAACACCTAAAAAAATCGGTTCACTGAGCAAAAGAAGAAGAATCAATTGGCAAGAATTGTAGGCGGGTAGAAGAAAATTTGATAAGTTAAATAACGATTTCATGAATAAGTCAAAAACAAAACTTTATTTGGCAGAAATAAAAGACTAAAATCGCATGTAGATAAAATATGTCTCAATATGAGTTAGAATACCTAACCAATTTTATGTGATAAATGCAACGATCCAAATAACCTGTACAACATTTGTAAGTGACTTTAAACCAAATGATCATACATGAGACATAAACCTATGATCATATATGAGACGTATAGTTGAATTATTACATAACTTCAAGAATATAGTACAAGAAAAAAATTTACCGGAGTGACAAGCAAATTCGCTATGGGGACGTCAGCTTATGACAAAGAATGTAAAATAATAGCTTCTTTTATAGTTGTAAAATTCTAGAAACCTAAATTGATTCCAAAACAAAGAGTAAAAACGGAAGGGACAATCCTTATACAGTATTAATTCCAAAACATTGGGAAGAAACAAAGGGAAAAGCCTAATTCGGTCAGTAAACTTTGAAGAATTTGAGTCCTAAACTAAGACCAAATAAACAATGGAATTTGAATCCCAAACTGATCAAAAGGGACGTGTCCTAAACTAAGACCAAATAGATAATGGAATTTGAATTAGCCGATAATTAATATTTTTATTTATTTTGAAGAAAATAGTTATTACATTTACAATTATATCCAACATATAATACACTTACGAAGGGTAAAAAAGGCGAACGACATTACGATAGAGCCTTCGTGCTTTTAATATAGTATAGATATAGATATAGATATAGATAGATAGATATAGATATAAATAAATATAGATATTTCAAAGGGTATTTACAATCCACCTTCCAACAAATATCCTTAAAAAATATCCTTACAACTTAAAGTGTACACGTACATTTGAAATGTACTAATTAAAATTATGTTTAATTTTAAATCTAAAGATACTGAAGTTGGTATATATCTGTCACTAAGTTTACAAAAGTATTTTTTTTTACAAATATCTATAATTATTTATGAGTAAAACAAATATCTGTAGATAAGTTTACAACTGACAGAACTATATTTTAAACTATAATTTGCAATTATAATAAATAATATAATGTTTTTTAAATTTTTGTCGTAAACATATACATATTAAAGCATAAACCCAATTTGATAGGTGAAAAATAGACAGATAGTAAAATTTATGTACCGAAATAAATAGTAATAAATTATCATATTTCTTATAAGAAATTTAAGGTAATTATAAGTTTTTATTCTATAAACTTAAGTAGTGCACGCATGTCGATCGTCTTTTTTACCCTTTTCAAATGGAGTTCACACTAGACAAAATAGTCATTTAATTATTTCTTAATATTTAGTACTTTGAAGTTAACTAAAACTTTAGTTATTAAAGTTTTCTTTATTTGAAGGACTACACAGTAAATCTTAATATTTAGGACATCAAAATCAATTAAGTTTACCTTATACAATTCAAATAATTTCTCTATAAACTTTTTGCCTTATGATCTACGTACATATAAATTAGCAGTGTATGTTTATAAGAAGCATTTTAAAGCTCCATTCAATTTAGTATACTTTTCCACAAAATTATTTAAACTATTATATACATCAGTTTATATAATTATTTATTTGAAAATATATTTATGTGATTGAGTTTTTTGCTACCTATAACATTAACCCATTCTAAATATTTTAAAATCGTGAGTACTATGAAAAATATAAAACCCAAGTTTTAAAATGATACGGGACAACTATATGAAAGAACAATAAAAAACATCAATATACAGCTCACTCAAATTACAACTTAGTTATTTATTTAATATTTGAAATAATTAAATCAACTAAATTTTAGTTATTAAATAAATCATTATTTGAATTATGTGTGAAATCCTAATATTTAAAATTTATCAATCACGTTTTACCTAAAATAAATTGTTTACTTATTTGAAGTGTATACCATAACTGTAATACCTTTTATATTAATTTTTTTAATATTTAGAGCTTTGAAAACAACTAAAATTTATTTAATAACCTTTTGTATAATATTCGAAACTACACTCAATAATTATTTCGACTTGCAAACATCATCTATTCTAAATGTGTAGTATTATCAATAATTAGAAAACACTCTAGTATAACTCAAAGACATTATTTAATACTACTTATATTTTTTTAAAAAGTTATATACTTATAGACAAGGGAAACACGCGCAAAGCGCATAACCTAAGATTAATCTATATCTATATCTATACTATATTAAAAGCATGAAACCCCTTAGCGAAATGTCGTTCGCCTTTTTTACCCTTTAAAATAGGCTTCACATTAGATAAAAGTGTAATTTAACTGTTTCCCTAATATTCAAGACTAAATATTTAATTATTTTCCTAATATTTAGGAGTTCTTTTCATTCTTTTTCCTAGAATAATAATTAGGAATTTGAATTCACTTATAATTCATTCAAAATGTGTAAGAAGGAAACCGTATATATCTTTGCTTAGAGACTATATTGAAAACTTTGTTGCAGCTTATCAAACTGAAAAAATAAATAAATTACACACTTAATTCCTTTTCCTTTTTGGAACCAAACTGTACGCCTTAGGATTCTTATGTTTTGCGCGTGTACACCAACTTGAGAATATAATTCCCCCGGTCGTTCAATTTTCTCAAATTGTCCTCCATATGTATAGCAATTTATAATTTAAATAAAAATAAATATACGAAGTGCTATTATAAATATACATACGAAGAATAAAAAGTGATCTACATGCTAAAACATCTAACACAAATTTAAAAAAAATAGGTTATTTCTTCACATATGTTCAAGTCTTGATAAACAAATTTACTTGGTACATGTTACGTAAATAACAGTCATCCCATAAAATTAATCGAGATATGCACAAACTGACTTTGACACTTACACAAAAAATAAAAAATAAAATCCTAAAATTCCTATCATAAAAAAATGGGAAAACAAATTTTTCAAGAAGGTATAGAAGGTTCTTCAATTGCTAAAACTCTAAACTAAATAAAAAAGAAAATATAACTTTTCAAGAAGCAGTGAAAATTGTTTACACCTCCAAATTTGCTTTAAACATCAAATTCTCCCCTCAACTTGAACAATAGACATTATATTTATTTAATTTAATGTTTAAACCTTTTATTTTATACACAAAATATAGTTTTTAATATATCACTAATTGAGAACGGGATACAAGCGCAACTGCGCGTACCCTAACACTAGTCCTTCAATAAACAAGTATAACCGATTTAACCAAAAGACAATATTTTTTTGTCAAAGACATATAATAATGGTATATAAAATATAATATTGGAAAATTAATAGTCTACACGAGATCAGGTGAGAGGTTATTTTGAATTTTAAGGGATTATGTGGTAGTTGGCATAATCCCTATTTTCAAGTTCCATAATGATATATTTTTGGCATACGTATCTAGTTTAATTAAAAAGTTTTTGTAAAAGTGGTTATATTTCTTATAAATAACTCGTATTCCAGGTAAATTTCTCACAAAAAAGCCCACGCACATTTTAGGCCCAACCAACAGTTTTACCCTCATTCCCTACACAGAGACGCCATTGCTGAGGTTCCACATCACTCTACGCAACTGCAATCAAAGGAATCATGGGAAGTCGATTAGGAAGAAGAGTTGTAAACTTCGCTAATCTTCCGATTAAGCTTCTCATGCCTTCTTCTTTCTCCAACATCACTGAGATCTCCCTCAAAACCATCCCCTCTGCTTCCAAGGTAACATCTTTTTTATTATATTTCCCATTTTATGCTATGGTCTTTGGCTCCACACATAGTTAAAACAAATAAAAGCACTTTTGAAACCTATGTATAGTCTGATAGATATTTGTATGGCTATATATAAATCTATCTTAAGAGTTCTTAAATACAATGGCAGGCAACCTATCAATCCCAACATAAGCTATTCAATATCCATTTTGTTATATTCAATAATTGGGGATACAAAAGATTTTAAAATTCTTGGAATTTTATGTATAGATTGAGATAAAGAGGGTATTGGAGTCATTGTACGGCTTTGAAGTTGAAAAGGTCCAAACTTTAAACATGGATGGAAAGAAGAAGAAGAGAGGTGGGCTATTAATTGCTAAACCAGACTACAAAAAAGCTTATGTTACACTTAAGAACCCTTTGTCTATATCGACGGATCTTTATCCTATACGAATGATCCAAGAGGAAAAGAAAAATATGAGCAAGAAATCTAAGTCTAGCATTGTTGAGGATGATGAGCCTAAGAAGATGCATTGGCTTGACGACAAGAGAGACACGAAGAGTAGTTCAGAGAGGAGATTCAGTCGTGGTCGTGATCGTGAACATGGTTCTTCAGATGTTGGTGCTGCAGCAGCAAAGTTCCCTTGGAGTAGTATGAGGTCTTATGCTCCTAGGTAGATCATCTATTTTCTTTGGAATAATTTGAATTTTCTTGGAAATGTTGCTAGTTTAATGGAGTTCTATGTTTTTTTTTTTTTTTTTGATTTGCACCGGGTGTCCGAGTCTTTAAGGGCCCCAACTAATCCCGGGGGTGCACAGGCTCTCGGCAAGGAGTTTCCCGCAAGTGCACCACGGTTAATTCAATGGAGTTCTATGGTTTTATGTTAAATAAATTAAATTAGCTATCTTTTTTATAGATTTTTAGCTACTTAACAGAGTTAAATAATACTGTAGCTACTTAATAAAATTATTTAATAGATATATGAGAATGTCTGTCATTCAAAATTGAGGGATAATTTGATTTTTGAAGCAAAATTGGGGATATAAATGATTTTCAACCAAGCATGTCTAACCTAATTGTGTGTGAGCAAATCAATCGTGACAAGTCGACCGATCCATAATGAAAGCATCTGTAGATAGTAGTCGTTTGTCCATCGGTGGACTCATCCTCAATGCCATTTAGGCTCTCCAGTTATGTCGGTTGTCTGCCACCTTTCTTTCTCGTGCCCTCATTAAGTAAGTGGAAGCTTTTAAAAGTGTCTACTAGATTGCTCTTCATTGAAAAATGCAGAACCTACTACAGGCCTATTTTACAGACCAAAGGCTACATGGAGCAATCTGTGAAAGAAGGAAAGAATCAAATTGGTGTTCCTTAATGATTCTAGTTCGAAGTTGCAAACAACCTATAAGCATGCATTTGTTCCATGTTAGATGGGCATTAGCTGAACAAAGAAGTCAAGACTAAGTGTACATGTTTCTCAAACAAACATATTCTAGATGTTGTTTTAGCACGCATGTCTTCTTCCCAAAAAAACGGGTGTATATTCCGGACATTCGGTGCTACTAGAGAAACTGCATATTGTCCATCATGGTTGTCAACTAAAAGACCATTTAGTTTGTTCAAATGCTAAAACAGAAGTTTATTCCTTCTAACACCCATAAGTTTAAATAGAGATTGTCTAATGTGGAAGGTTCAAATCTTGATGTCCTGAACTCGTCAATTATTTAACAGTTTTATCACCAGGGCCATTGAGTTTATACATGGAAAGAAAAGAAAAAGTTTCATGAAATATAATAATAATCATATTACTTTAATAAAGTTGATTGTTTGATCAAATATCAACTATCCCTTGCTCCTTGTTACCTTGTCGATATCAGTTTAGCTAATCTTTCTTTTCCTGTTGAAGTGCTTGCACTAACTTACCTTCAAAATAAGACACTCGAAGGTAGCAATGCAAAACAAGTCTAAAGCTTTTAAAAAAAAAAAAAAAAGAAAGATTATTGAAAATACAATTGTCTTAACTCTCACTGCAGAAGAACCTGTTTGTAGACATGCACATCTTACCTCAAACTTTTTTCATTCCAATATTGCAGACCAAACTTCACAACAAGGTCACTGCCTAAGGTAGAACCTTGGACCTTATTCATTTTTCTATTTTAACTAAGGCCACACAGCCCTTACTCTGTACAAGTGTTACCCGCCTAGTGTAAGGGTAAGGGGAGAGCGTACATCGTATGCAACTTTGCCCTTAGACCTCTGCAAAGAAACTGGTTCCACATTTCAAACCCCGAAAGACCAACTCTATCATTGCGCCAAGTCTTGTCCTCAAATCTTTCACTAGCTAACATGCAAAAACCTTTTTGAATTATGCCATTCTTGATACCTACATTTCTCTTCATAAGAAGGTATTAGTCTTAAGCTCGACGAACCCATTGTTCCAATCGAAGCTGCTTTAAAGGAGGACCAAGATCTGGCTTAGTCCTCTGTGGGCAACGCCATTTTCCTGTTGTTTCCAAAGCACTAGGATGCAAGTTGGTTGTTTCTGTGAGAACCTTTCTTGTCAAAACATGCTTGTGGCAGTTTGATGCAACAGTGATCCCACTTAGAGAAGGAGACTGAACTGCAGAAGGCCTTGGCAAAGGACTTCCATTGTGCAATTGGCTAGTTCTGTTCTTTCTGGTTGATCTAAAACCATTCTCTCCTAAGCCATTTATATTATTTTCTTTGTCCATGATTTCCCCAGCTTCCCTTTTGGATAACTTCTGACTTAACACCCTCGCCACAGGACTATTTTTAGGCTGCACATTGTAAGCAGGTTCAACACAATCTTCAGATTTCGGGCTATTCTCTTCAGAATCCGTCCTGTGAATTGGATGTCTATATAATTTTTCACCTTCACAGCTTGAATGATTAATGATACAGGACACTTTGCAGTTAGCTTCTTGAGGGGAGATGGTCTCCAAATGTTCTCCAGCTGTTTTACTGTCTTTGATTACCATGTCAATGTATCTTGGTGAACCACATTTGCTATTCTGCGTTTTCTTGTGATATAGAGTCTGTTGAGAGATTCTTTCACGAGACATTTCATTGGTTACTCTTGTGTTGTTTGTCCCATCAGCCTCCTGACCCAAAGTATACAAACGTAAAGGAAATATCAGTAACGGAACTTGTGACAATATGGTAAGGTAGACCTCAATTAAGTAACTTAAGTTTAGTTTGCTTCTTTGCATGGTAACAATTGTATAACAGAATCAGAGATGAGATGGTTTATATGCATAAGTAGCTTTCAGCCAACTGAGAGAGAGAGAAGGGAAGTTGAAATATAAAACCAAGCAGATCAAGAGTACCTTTGAGACAGGTAGATGCTCATACTTGTCATCATGGATAAAACTAGATCCTAATGAATTCCTTAAATTCTGAGGTTCCCCGCAGCCATTATACTCATTCATATACACTTTGTCATCAAATTCTTTCTGATGATCTGGGAGTATGAAATCTTGAATAGTATCCACTTTTGGAGATTCGTAAACATAGCTAGAGAACCAGTTCCGGACGTCTGGAGGCTCTGATAAAGACCATATAGGACGATTAGCATTAATAAAAACTATCATTGCCTGCTTAAGAAAAAGGGAACTTTTATATTAGGAGGTGAAAGGATCACACTTGCCTGAAGCAAGTGACGTGTCATTTGAAGAGTCCACATCCTAAAAGACACAAATACACAAAATCAGAGAAAATTGGACCATTCTTATCCAAATTCACCACCAAGACCGAGCACTATATAATAAATTGACTCACATTCCAATCAAAAGTTTGCACAAAGTAATTGAAACAACAATAGAAAATAACTCGCCTGACCTACCTTTTTGTTATCTGCAACAGAGTTTGTACACGGAATAAGGCCTTTCGAAGACACATCAAAACCAGAAGAAAAATTAACACTTTTCCCATTTGTTCGATTTTCAGCAGAATTATGTTCCTCCTCGCGGTTGCTGTCTTCTTTGCATCCTTTGGTGCTAGTATCCTCTTTGAAACCGATGTCAATTGATTCAGGGACTCTAAAATCATCACTATCAGCCAATGCAGGAGTTTCAGGCACAAAACTTGAGAAACAGTCCTTGGAATCTAAAGGCTCTGATAGCATTGACACAGGGACAGAAAGTCAGCTTCCTACGAATTTGATATGAGCAATTTTGATGTGCAAATTTTAAGGGCGTAAGATGAACTGGAATCCTTAATTTGTGTGGGCATATATAAGGTACTAAGAGCTCGTTTGGCCATGAAACTTTTTTAACTTTTTTTCAAAATCAGTGTTTGGCCATAAATTTTCAATTTTCACTTGAAGATGAATTTTGGAATTTTTCGAAAATTTGAAAAACACCAAAATGCTGTTTTTCCAAATTTTCACTCAAAATACTCAAAAAAATTCAAAAACAACCCAAAATTATATTCATGTCCAAACACAACTCTAATTTTCGAATACCATTTTCACTTGAAAAAAAAATCACTGCTTTTTTGGAATTTTACAATTCTTATGTCCAAACGCACACTAAATTTCACCTCCTTTACTCAGATGCCTGAAGACAATAGTAACCAAAGAGCCCAACTTACCAGAAGAAAATGAGATATTATCTGAAGCTCTCCAAACCTGTGAAACAACTTCTAAAGTTATATTACTAATCTTAGAAATGATTTCAGTAACCATCTACAACAGTTACAACTTTGAAAGCTCCTAATAACTAAAGCTAAATTCAAGAAGCAGAAAACAAAAATATCTTCGAAGTTGATACTCTAATGCAATGGTTTCAGAGTATAATCAAATCTTATGATCACAAAGAACTGCATAGCTTATATTTACATCATTGTGATAGGAATTATGGACCATCAATTTCTGTTAAACCTTGAATTAGATTCGTTAATAGATTAATACATCCACAAGAAGAATAGTGGGAAAAGAAAGGACAGTATAGAAGTAAAGATTTCTTATAAAGTGGCATGTTTTGTTTGGCTGGTAGCTAGAAAGGCCTGTTTAACAGAGGATAACCTGATGAAAAGGGGTCTACCACTTTGTTCCAGATGTCATCTATGTGGAAGGGAGGCAAAAACTATTAATCACCTTTTCTTACATTGTTCAGTGACAGTACAAGTTTGGAATATATTTCTAGCACTAGCAGGGGTACACTGGGTCATGCCAGACAACACAAAGGAAATGTTGTCATGTTGGAATAAAGGGAGTAGTCCCTTAGCTCAGAAGAACAGATGGGATTTAATTCCTGCTTGCATATGGTGGTCTATTTGGAAAGAAAGGAACTCAAGGTGTTTTTAAGACAAGGGCAGCTCAATTCAGAAGATAAAAATGGACTCTTTGTTGTTGTTTTATTTTTGGTGTAAGCAGGATTATACAGTGGATCCAGAAGCTATAATAGATGTTCTAGGATCCCTGTAATAGGATAGAAATTTTAGATGTATATTTTGGTACAACCTCCTGTAATTATGGCCAGCACAGCCTCTGTGCCTTTTGCATATATAAAACTGTTATCATCTCAAAAACAAAACAAAAAAAAGGACAGTATAGATATGTCTATTTGGAATTTTCAGTAACTGTTGCAACATCAATTAGTTTATTCGGCAAGAGCAGCTCTTTCACAGTCTTCTACCAACTAATGGTCATAATAATGTCTTCCTTTCTGGACTTTGTTTACTGTCAAGTATCAACTTGATTGGCTGGTTACTCCAATAACTAATTCGATTAAAGGCCTAGCTACTACAGAAGCATTGTGAGGAATCATACACATCGATAATACAGATGCAAATGCAAGCTTGGTACTGCCAACGCTTTCCCTTCCAAATCCTAACAAGATGAATTCAGCATTGGATTGTGAATCTCAATAACCTACACCGAGCAAAAATTGACT